TGGAAGTCCAAACTGCTCATTTTACAGAGGAGGAAACTGAGGGCCAGAGAAGTTAAAAGAGATTTGCCCAAAGTCAAACAAGTAGGAAATTGCAGGGTCAAGATTTGAACCCAGGCCCTATGACTGTCTGCACTGTGTGATGCTAGGTATTTAATGTAGACTCATTGTTTGGTTTGTTTTTCTACTCTACTCTTTTTGCCCCTTCTCTAATTCAATTCAACATGATGTGTCCTGTTGGACGGGATTGTAGAATCACAGAGAAGAGCTAAAGTGGACCTCAGAGATCTTCTAATTCGCCTTCCTCCTTTTTGTGGATGAGGAAACTGACACCTAACACAAGGTCCTTTCCTCCCTTCCCTGGAAATGACTCTTGCCCCTGTGGTGGAGGTGGGCCCTACAGAAAAATAGGTTACTCTCTGGATTAACCCATTCCATCTGGATGCAGAGGTTGCAAGGGTCAATCCTGGCAGATTAACCCCTTCCTGGTAAGGCTGGGTAAAAGCTCTGAGGGAGAATAGAGGATTATCACTTCTGAGCTCCAGCCTGTGGTTTAAGAACAGCATTCACCAAATGCCTGGAGCAGAATTTGAATTCAGATCAGCTCTCCATCCACTACAATACCTGACTCCTCTTTCTGCAAGGTGGGAAGAGGGGAGACACTGACAGAGAATGGCAGTAGCGATAGAATGGCTCAGCATTTCTATCCTCTATCCATGGGGTCTCTGTGGGTCCAAGGGCCTGTCCAGGACTAGCCTAGACATTCCTCTCCTACCCAGTTATCTCAAGGCAGTGATGGTGGCTAAACACTCTTGATCCTGGTGAGGAGACTGGTCCTGGATGTCGCAAAAAAAAGTACCCACTAATGGTCTTGGGGAAATGGAGTGGGGAAAGTCTGATCTGGCTGCAGTCTGGAACATCGGGCTTCCTTGTCCCAAGTTGAAATTATCTGGTGGGAAAAGGGCACCGAGGCCTCAGTCCCACTTAGCTCAGTCTCCTGCATATGGCCGAACATCTTTTATTGTGCCAGTTGCCCTGCAGAAAGGCAGAAGCCAGGACTAGGTTTGGGCTGGGCACAGTGCCCTAAGCCTGGCATGCTCTCTGGAAATGTTGAAATATGCAAAGAGATGAGGGCCCTCAGCCAACTTCAGTCATAAACCGTGTCTCTTTCATGCCTTCAGCAAAGCAGAAATGGGAGAATTTTAGGGAGAAGCTTGCTGAGTTGGGGGGGTGGGGTTCCAGGGACCCATGGATGACTGTTCTCTGGCTCTTCGCCTGTCAGGTGCATTGGGTCCCCTCCCCTCTTGGTGACAAGGTGAATAATTCAGACAACTATCATCCTGAAAGGTAATAGAACAGTGGGCTGGTTGCCATCTCTTTGTGAAATATTAAACAGGTTTTTACTGAGTACTGGATATACAAGCAGGTGTGTGGATAGGGCATAGTGGTGGCACCTGGGGGCTACCTCCAAGGCATCTGGGAGTGGGGCTGCCAACGAGAGTTTGGAGGATGTTAGGCAACAACATACATACTTGGCATGCAGGTGGTAGTATTAGTGTATGATTGTCTATTTGCTGTGTATGTGCATGAATAGCAATTATTCAATCAACAAACACATACTTAGTGCCTACTGGATGTGAGGCACTGGGTGGTGTGAGAAATAGGAACAGAATCAACACATGTGTTGCCTCTAAGAGTTTATACCATCTAGAGTGCACGCACACACAAAAATATGTTACCTATGATAGGTGCCAGGTGGGCATTAGAGACAAGAGGTTTTATAGGTGGAGAGAAGGGGATCAGTTGTGGGTGGTTAGAGAATATCTTCTGAAAGGGACAGGAATGAATCTGAGCCCAAACAGGGGAGCAAGGATTTGGGGAGGTGGGTTAGCGTCTGTGTGGGTGAGTCTGAGCTTGGCACCTACAATCATAGATGCTTGATAAATACTTTAGGATAGATACATGAGTGCCCACCGATGGGCCGTGGTGGGTAGGACAAGGCTGGGCTGGGCACTATAGGACACAGACCTTTCCCCCACCTGCTCTCTTTCCAGGGAGGAGGTGCGGACTCTGGCATTTAGATCAAGGCTACACCACCACCTAGTGCCCAACACCTTTAACTGCACCCAAGGTCCTCCAATCTTAAAGCCCCAGAAACAGAGAAGGGCTCCCTCCATTTGAAGTCTGAGAAAGTGAGAATTCTTTTACCTAGTATCCCTAACCTAGGAGGCAGGGAAGCATCAAGATGATGAACTTCAAGGGCCTCAAGGACACCACTCCTCTCCCAGCCCAGGTCCCGGCTCCACCTTGAATGGTGAGCGTAGTTGACCTCAAAGGGAATTGCCCCATTTTAGCAGCCCTGAGACTATTTCTGTGACCCAGGGCAAAGTTCCCCAAGCTCCCTGAAGCCTGGGCAGTGCTTGGAACTCAATAGAAGGGATCTATTTCTCTGGTTGAGTTTCTTGCAGCCAGAAGGTGAGAACCAGGCATTAGCTAGATCTAGATTTAAGAATCTAGTCTAGAATATGCATGCTAAATTATTCTAGAATCTAGACCAGTGGGGGAGGGAAAGACCCCAGAACTCAAGAGACAAAGTTTTGTGGACTGAGAAACTCCCCTTCAGGAATATGGCCCCCTTGGGCCAATGGTAGAGCTCCCAGAGTACTGCCAAGACCATGGGGAAAAGGAAAACAATGGGGTCAGGGAGGGGAAAAGTTCATCTGGGATGCATTTTCCTAGGGTAAGGGAGTAACTTTCTACACTAGCTAATTATTCTGGATTGCTAACAAGGATCCAATTTCAGGTGTTTTCTACTTAATGAAGGATTACAAGTATTGATCAGTAATGACCCAGGGACAAATCATCATTGATCCCAACCTAGTTAGAACTCTGCTCATCCTTGTGTTTGGGAAGGGGTTCAATGTCTGTGTATCCATCAGATTGTTAATCAGCTTAATTTGTTAGGCAGTGAAATTGCCGGAGCCCAAAATAGCCCAGGAAACAGGATTAAGTGGGCAGGTTGCTAAACCTTGAGTGGAGGGGAGGGGAAGATAGTGAAGGGTGGAGATGAGCAGGGATTCTCCCTCCCCAGGCAGAAGTAAAACAACATTGACTCCCTCCTGCCCTTCCAGTTAGATATGCCTTCTTCCAGGATCTAGATATCACCTTCACTCTCCTAAAGAATGTAGGGGATAACTTCTCAGTTCCTCAGTTCCACACCCTCCTCTGAGAGGATGTGCCACGAGCCTTTGTCCCTTTGGTACCCGGTCCCCTCTCCTCAAGGCAGGAGTCTAGGAGCCAGGGGCTTTTGGGATCTGGGGAACAGAGAAGCCAGGGAGAAAAAAACCTGGAGTAGGGAAGGGGTTAGTGTTAACAGAAGTATCTGTAACCCATTGTAGTTGACAAAGAATGGGCAGGTCATCCCCTGGACCAATGCCTCTTAAGGGGAGTCTCACCTTGGTTGTGAGACCAAGAGGAAAAGTGGGGGATGGGGCTAGAGTTCCATCCCACTGCTCCCAAATCTATGACATTCCACAAGTCTAGACTCCTTCATTCACCAAACATCAGGGCACTGTGCTTTAGGGATGCGACGATTAAAAACACACAGTTCCTGCCCTCAGTAAACTTGCATTCTACTGGAGAGCAGGTAGAATGTGACATCAAAGATAATAATACAGCACTTTAAGATTTGTGAAGCACTTTACATAGATTATCTCATTTGATTCTCTCCATAGCCCTATAAGATAAATAGCTGCTTGTTATTAATCCCACTTGGGATATTACCCCAACTTTTATACAAGAGAACTGAGCATCAGAGAGGTTCAGTGACTTGGCTATAGTCACACAGCTAGTATCAGAGGCAGAATTCAAATTTCTCTCTCTCTCTCTCTCTCTCTGATTTGTTGTTGTTTTTGTCATATGACAAACATGTCCCAATAACCCCCAACCCAACCTCAAGAGCTCTCATGACTCAAAATAAAAACAAGAAATAAAATCAGTCAATACAGCAATTGGATTAGATAACACATGTAACATTTGGGGCCTTCTCCACCAAGAGAAGGCCGTTGTGTTTTTTTTTTTAATCTTCTGTGCTCTGGAATCAAAGTTCATCATTGCCTTTAATTTAAATTCAACTGCTTTTAACACTGTGCATTCCTAAGTGAAGGGGCCATCGCAGGTCACCCTGATCCGTATATGGCTATCAGACCCAGATGGCTCTGGAGGAGAAAGTGAGGCTAATGACTTTGCACAGCCTTCCCTCACTTAAATCCAATTCACTTAGGAGTCCTGGCATCTCCTAATGTCATAGTTCTCTTCAAGAATGAAGGACAAACAGCAATTCCTAAGTGATGAGGAGCAGGAGAGTGAGTCTGTCAACAAGCCTTTACCAAGTATTTATTATGTGCCAGGCACCTTGCTAAGTGCTGGGATTACAAAGAAAGGCAAAATCAGTCCTGGATGGCAAGGAGCTCCCCCTCTAATTGGAGAAACAATCTCGAAATGACTAGTCACATAGAAGATACCATATATACAGAGGAAATAGAAGGGGAAGGCACTAACCTGAGTCTTGGAGGAAGTCAGAAAAGCCAGGAGATGAAGGTAAGGGGACAGTGAATTTGACATCTGTTGTCTGGCTCTTATTTTTTCAGCACTATACTAGACCTTGTGAGGGAGTCCACAAGTCATAGGCTCACGCCCCTGTCCTTCAATTTCATCTTGTAAATTGAAAAAGTTCCTCCCTAAGGAGGACACCAAGGAAGGATACAGACAGAGGTCTGACCATCCAAGGGCCCAGCTTGTGATGAGGCTCTGCAGCGGATGATGCCAGCCCTCACTTCAGTGTGCTAGGGTCAATGGAGGCTGGGTGGAGAAGAGGTAACAGGAAGGAGAAGAGGTGTCTGGAAGGACAGGTAGAAGGGAGGATGTATATCTCTGAGGGCTGCTCTGTGTGTGTGTGTGTGTGTGTGTGTGTGTGTGTGTGTGTGTGTGTTCTCTTTTCCCAGGGGGATAAGTGCCCAAACCAAGAATGGTGCCACACCCCTCTACCTGGCCTGCCAGGAGGGCCACCTGGAGGTAACGCAGTACCTGGTACAAGAGTGTGAGGCTGACCCCCACACACGTGCCAGTGATGGGATGACCCCTCTTCACGCTGCTGCTCAGATGGGCCACAGCCCCATCATTGTGTGGCTGGTAAGTGCCAGGGGCTGGAGGGATGAGGAAAAGAGGAGGAGGGAAGAGGGAGGAGCTGGCCCCATGACCTTCCTTTTGCCCCTCATGCCAGGTGAGCTGCACCGATATCAGCCTTTCAGAGCAAGATGATGATGGGGCCACTGCCATGCATTTTGCTGCCAGCCGGGGTCACGCCAAGGTGCTCAGCTGGCTGCTGCTGCATGGCGGGGAGATTACCACTGACTTGTGGGGTGGGACCCCCCTGCACGATGCTGCTGAGAACGGGGAGCTGGAGGTCAGGCCAGGCCAGAGAGAGCCAGCAATCAGGGGGCTCAAGCTGGGATGGGGTGACGATGGGAGCATGATCCAGCCTCTCCCTCTTCTTCTTTCCCATCCAAATCCAGGCCCTCTCTCCCCACCCCTCCATGCCCCCTTCGGGTCCAGTCCCTGACAGAGCTGGGCTCATGATCTCTGCTGACATCAGCCCTGCCTTTCCCCAACCCCTCCCCCCCCACTTCCATGTCAGGAGCATGATGCAGAAGCCAGATCCTCCTGACTCCAGGTCCACTGCTACAGCCTCTTTAGCACCTGAGTCCCCACTACATCCCAGGGAGAACTTGCCCAGTGGTGGGGGACGCTCACAATCTAAAAGTGTGAGAAGGGACATTTAAGGGGGGAAAACTTTGTCGTCCTTCCCCACCCTCAGCTTTAAGGACACAACCACACAGCATCCTTAGCTCCGCTGTATCAGGCAATGGTCTAAACTCATCTGGCCCAGTGGTACCCCCCTCACTGCCCCTGTCCTTGTTCCCCCAGTGCTGCCAGATCCTAGTAGTGAATGGGGCAGAGCTGCATATCCGGGACCGGGATGGTTACACAGCTGCCGACCTCTCGGACTACAATGGTCACAGCCACTGTACCCGCTACCTTCGCACTGTGGAGAACATGGTATGACCAAGCCCTGCCCCTGGAATATTGCTAGCACAGGGAAGGGGTAGGCTTTGAAGTGCCTGCTTCCCCTCCGAGGCAGAGGAGAGGAAGCCAGGTGATGAGGTCCTAGAATGAAGAGCTAGAAAGGACCTTAGATCATTTAGTCCTAGGGTCCCATGGGTAGATTTCAGGGGATCCATGAACTGAGATGGGAGGGAAAATGACGTCTTTTTACTTGTAACCCTTAGTATTTTATTTTGTGCATTTAACAAATTACTCTGAGGAGGTCCATAAGCTGCCCCTGACTGCCAGGGGGACCCATTGGCATAGAAGTACAATCCCTTTATTTTGCCAAGAGGAAGTTGATGCAATGAGTAAACAATTCCCAAAGACACATAGTAAATAGTAGAGCTGACATTTGAACCCAGATCCTTGGTCTTACAATTCAAGGCTCTTTCCACACAGGCTCCTTCCCCATCCTCTCCCCACCAATTCCTTGTGTTCAATAAGGCCAGTTGGGAGAGAGGTCATTTCAAGCCCAGGCCACACCTAAGGGTGCCATCCCCATCCATCTTTGCCTGGGTCATAGAAGCCAATGGTGGGAAGGACCTTCCTGTAGAAGGTCCTGAGCCCCAGCTATTCCCTTCCACCCTCACTCTCTCAGCCTGCTCTGGGTATCGCCCTGCTTGGCCCCAGCTGTGCCAGTGACAGACTGAAAGTCACCAAGGACCGCTGCCCCAGAAAAGGAAAATACTCACTGAGTCCCTCATTATGGAGTCCAATAAGCAAGCAGCAGCTGGGCCGTTACCTGGAACCCAGTGCTGGGCGGGGCAGGCATCGGGCTCTCCCTGAGGACCTGTGACACTTAGCAGGCAAGAAGGGTGGGGGCATGGGGCTGCAGAGGTACCAAGGCAGAGAAGACATCCTTCTCCTCTCTGAGCTAGCTAAGGGCTGCCCGGCGGGCCAGGGACCAGCAATCCGGAGAACAACATGGGTAATGTAAGCAGTATCCCCCTCAGGCTCGCAGCAAGTCCTGGGCCCTGAGGAGGAAGCCTAGATATAGAGGGGACAGGGCTAGAACATGGGTCTGGGCACTCCTAGGGGCATCAGGGTGGGTGGTATCCAGAGGAAGGCTACAAGAACAAGGGATATAGCTGAAGCGCCTTTACCATCTTCCTTGACAATTGGCACTATTCTTGACCTCCTTGGGCTCCAGTCAGAAGTGAGCCAAGGAGAGCAGAGGTGAAGTTCTGTTTGCTGGCAGAGTACAGGGTGGTCCTGAAGGTAGCTACTCAGACACCGGAGTGGATCCTCAGCCTACAGCTGGCCAGTTCTATCTCCATTCTATCCAGGTTGGACCTCTGGGAATAAATGCAATGTGCTACTTGGTCCCCACACCCCTTCAAAGATGTCATCCTCTGAGCAGGGCAGATGCCAGATCCACATCTCAGAGTTGGCAGTGAGGCAAAGGGAAGAAGCCTCCCTTCCTAGAAGGCTCATTTCCAGATGCAGCACTGGTTTCATTCTCCTTGGCTCTTTAGGGCCAAACGAAGAACAATGAGCAGAAGTAACAACAAAACATATTTGTGTTTGATACTGGGAAAACCTCCTAACAAATGGAGCTGTCCAAAAGAGGGAAAGGTGCCTCAGAAGGGAGAGAAGGGGTGATAAAGAGAAAGTACTGGACATCACTTGTCTCTGATGTTATGAAGGGGACTAGTACAGGAAGGGGTTGGACTAGCTGACCTATGCATTTTCTTTAATTCTGTGGGGAGTAAACTGGACGCCCCAGGCTGACCTTTCCCTCCTGTTTCTGGCTAGACAGGCACCTGAGGGTCTCACCTTTCTGGTGAGACATCAAGGAATTGGGCAAAGGCAGAACCCCACCCTGCTACCATCACCAGGATCCGAGTATTGGCATACAAAAGCTACATCATTTGGCCTCGGTCCACTTGGGGTGACCAGGCATGACCCCCTCCCCTAAGAATCATAATCTTAGAATTCTAGAGTGAGAAGATAGCTTAGAAATCATGTATTTCAATCCCTTCATTTTAAAGAGGAAATTGTAGCCCCAAGAGGGCAAATGACTTGCCCACAGTCACACAGCTGGTTGGATATCCTAGCTCCCTGGCTCTATTACGTCACACTGCCACATGGGGATTGAAGGAATTGGGGATGTGAGACTGAAGAAGATTCAGGGGGGACTATGATAACTGCATTCGAGTGATTGGTGGATTATTACATTGAAAAGAGAATAGATTCCTTCTTTGGCTCCAGGAGGTCTGCCCCCAGGACTAGGACTTCCTTGGGGGGAATTTACAAGGAGGAGATTTTAGGCTTGATGTCTAGGGAGGAAAAAAAAACCTTCCTAACCATTAGAGAGGAAGGTAGGGAAGGGAATTGGCATTTTAAGTGCCTACTATGTGCCAGGCACCGTGCTAAACACTTGACAAACATCTCCTTTAATCCTCACAATAACCTTGTGAGGTAGGTTCTATTATTATCCCCGTTTCACAGGTGAGGAAACTGAGGAAGATCAAAATTATGTGACTTGCCCAGGGTCACATAGCTAGCAGGAGTCTGAGGCCACATTTGAACTTCAGGTCTTCCTGACTCCAGGCAGACTCAGGTCGTAAGGTTGGAGCCACCCAAATCAGAGGTTATCATAAGTTGAACAGGCTACTTCAGGAGGGATGGATTCCTGCTCATTGGAGGTCTTCAGGTAGAGGCTAGTGGACCACCATTTTTGGTATGGGTTGGTCGTTGAGATTCCTTATAATTCTGGAATTTTGTGATTCTTCCTCCTAGATATTTCTGTGTAGGGGTCCTAGGTAAGGTCCAGCTCAGTTCTCCAACAGCTTGATACAGCCAGCTCCCAGATGAGGTCCCAGATTCAGGATCGTCACCAACAACAGAGCTGGGGCATGTCTGGGCACAGCGATAGTCCCCCTGGGAACCTGAAGCATGGGTCTTGGGGGATCTCGGTCTCAGCTCTTCCCAGGGGAGAGGAGGCAGGAGTGGCCCCAACCTCGGGACTTGGATGTGTGACTTGATCTAATGGGTACTGGAAATACCCTAACAATTATGGCTGCTCAAAAATGGAATGGGCTACCCTCAGAGAGAGGTGGAGAGCTCCCTATCGCTGCAGGTGTTTCAAGTGTTGGCTAGATAACCACTTGTCCAGGCAGGTTGTAAAGGAGTTTCTTGGTCAGGTGTGCAATGGACTCCATAGCCTCTGAAGTTCCTCCCAGCTCTGAGATTCTGGGACTCCTGGGTCACAGCAAGAGAACTGGAACCCTGGGGACAGGGAAGGCTGTCACACTCTATCTTTTCTCCCCAGAGTGTGGAACACCGAGTCCTGTCCCGAGACCCATCTGGGGAGCCAGAAGGCAAGCAACCGGACTCAGGCATGTCTTCACCCAACACCACCATGTCAGCTCAACCCCCACACTTTGACCTCTGCTCTCCTACCAGCACTCTCTCCAACTACGATTCCTGTCCCTCCAGCCGCTCCAGCACCCGAGGCCACCTGGGGGGCCCAGGGCCTAGTGAGTACTTGGGAGATGAAGAAAGAGGAATAAAGTAGTGTGCTGGGCTACATCCCCACAGAGGGGTTAGGGTTCAACAAATGAATTAGCTGTGTTTCATCCCCTGTGGTCCCTAGAGCCTCCCACTTCTGTTCAGCGTTCAATGTGGACAGAAAGAGTAGGGGTCAAAATCAGAGATCATACCTTATTATGAAGGGGGTGAGAGATGGAAGGGAATGTTTCAGGCCCAGACCAGGGAGCCTGAGTTTCCCTCGTCCACCCCTCACCCCTCCCAGCTTCAGACAGTAACCACGTATATTTCATCCATACCTCAGGCTTGCTCAGGTGACCTGTCTCAGGTCTCTGCCCACCACAGCCTCCTCCTGGAGGATTTCCTAAGTTCTCAACACTATCCAGCCCCATCATGAAGAAAGATGGACATAGGAGCCCTAGACAATCCATGAATATGCACAGATTAACCTTCACACACACACACAAAGACACAATGCACACAAGTCACACCCCCATAGAAATGCGCACACTCCCTCCCACAGGGACACGCAGCCATACTTTGAGTCTCTGGCATGGCTCTGGGCAAAGTTTGGTTTTTTTGGTTCCATCTCCTTGCCTGGGACCATGGGCTCTGCCTTCATCCCCTTCCTGAGTCTCTAGACCCAGAGCCCTTTGATGAGAAGTCTTCAGCTCTTTCCAATCAGTTGTGCCCTTAGGGAAGCTTCATGAGTTGCCACAGGTTCTTGGAAGTTGTTGTAGCCCTCACCCTCAACCCCCCTCAAAGAGACTCTCTCATGCTGATCATTGCCAAGCACAGCACCACTGGGAATCGGGCAAGGTGGGTGGTGTGGGGGTAGAGGTCTGCCCATGATAAGTTATCTTGTTTCTGGGGCAGATCACTAACCCTATCCAACACTATCTTGCACCACTCATATTCCCAACATTCTGGGACTGCTTGGCGTTATTCTACCTAGCTCCTGAGCCTCTGAGGATCCTCTTCCCTAGTTCATAGCACCCTAGGAAGACTTACCCCATTCCCAGGTCAATTACTGAGGTGCTCAGGTCTAACTAACACTGTGTTGCAAGGTCGTGAGACTGAGGCTGTTTGCCCAGTAGAAGGCAATAGGCCATACTGAGGGTGCATCTGCTGGCTAAATGTAGAGAAGACAGTTGGGGTAGGGGCATTCTACAGTAGAGGACTTTATAAAATGGGTCCTTGGATTTCTTCTGTGGCTTTGATTGCCCAATTGGCAAACTGTAAAATGTTTCCTAGTACCAGTTGAAGATGAAGGTGCAGGGATTGCCTAGACTAAGCTGAAGAAGAGACACTGAGGAACATGGACTTCCCCAGGCTCAGGATTTATAGCTGATTCCCCTGATCCCCCAAAGCTGACTCTGAAAACATGACCCAAGAAGGGCCTCAAGGGATCCATGAGGTACTTTTGGCCATAGTGTAGAGAGGGCATGCCCACCCCCATCCCCAAATCTCCTTTGGGTCCAGCTGGGCTCCCGACAGTGCCTTGTTTTCTTCTTGGCAGGGTTGAGCAACTCGACGGTCACAGACATGCAGACCTACATGGATATGTTGAATCCTGAGATGGGCCTTCATGGAAGGAAGAAGGGAGGCCCCACCACCCCACCACCCCCACCTCGCTTCCCTCCACCACCCCCCTCCCCCTGGCACTCAGATTCCCCCACCCCCTCCTGCCTATCCAGCTCCCAAGCCCCCCAGTGGGCAGCACACAGCTGATATCTACGTTCAGGCCAAGAGCAAACTTCGGCATGTCGAGAAAGAGGCCCTGAAGAGGGAGGTAATGGAGATGGGATCAGTCCCAGCTTGCTCTGTGCCCCCCCTCCCCCAGAGCATCCTAACACTCAAACTACAGCCTGAATCAAGAGGGTGAAGGTGGGGGGAGAAGGGAAAGACACTTTCCTAAACTGAGGCCAGGATCTATTAGGAGCCATCCAACCCTCCATGGAAAGTGTTTTTAAATGTCTCTTGTCTTATTATGAGGCTATGAGAAGGAGGGGTAGCAGGGGGAGGGCAGGGCCTAAGCTGTGGGTGGGGAAAGCTACATAGAGAACCTCTTTAAAAGACCTGGGTAGGGGAGAGATCTCGCTGTGCACCCCACTCCCCAACATGTGTGTGAAGGGAAAATCAAATTATAATGAATAGCAAAGTTGACCCTGGAGGACAAGGATGTCAAAGGGGCTGTGGAAAGGAGATGGGCAGTGCCATGTTTCCCAGATGATATAGGGCAGTCAGGTGTTTGTGAGCCTCAGGGCTTTCTAGCAGCAACTTGGGAAAACACCTCTCCCCGGAAACTGGAGGCTATGAGAGTGAGATAGAAAGGAGGGAGGAGGTGCCGTGTAGATGGCAGGGAGGACAGGAACATTGGACGTAGCCATGGGAAGAAAAGAGAAGGAGCAAGTGAAGAGAGGAAATGGGTGAGCCCCGAAAGGGAGAGAAGCAATCCTGACATCAATTCTCCGGGGGTAATGGCAGAAGCAGGGGCAAGTACTGGTTGTGCTTTTGGAGTAGGGTTAGATCTCAAGCCAGTAAAAGACAGCGTGGGCTCTGAGGGTATAGGTGAGGGTGGGGCTACAGGAATAAAGGGGTGCCATCTGTCTCCAGCAAGAGCTGTATGTCTGGGCCTGGATACACCCTGTATCTAGGGCTATCCTTGGGTATGCTCTAGCAATAGGAAGATTTGGTACCCAGCCGAAGAAGAGAGGAAAGGGCGCCTTGGGGCATTCCCGAAGGGGAGGATGGTCTCATCTCGCCTGGGTAGACAGGAATGCAGAATAATTACATGGCTCTCGGCCTCGGCCTGTAGGGTGGGAAGGGGAGAGGTTAGAACAGGGAGTATGGAATAGTGATCTGGTTGCCCTCTAGGGCCAAGACAGCAAATGTTGCTGCCGGGGTACCTCTGGCCTAGTGGTCCCTTGGGATTCGGAGAGGGAAACCTTGTCGGTGTGTGTCTGCCTCATAGTCGGAGAACTGAGATGAGCTTTGCCCTCTGTGGGAGCGCAGCATCACATCTGGGTGTGTCCTTCTGCCTGGCCCCTGGGGCTGCGTATTTGTGTGTGCTTGTGTGTCTGCCCATCTCTCCCTGTCGGAGTGCATATATGCGTGCGTGCCTGGCGGCCAGAGCGCCCGGGAGTCCCAACAAAGTGTTCTTTGTGGGACCTGGCCCAGTTCTCGCAGCCTACGCCTCCTTCTTTGTTTGCAGACTAGAGAGAGGCTAGGATTCGGTTAGAGCCGGGCGATCGGCCTGAGGGCTAAGCTGGGCGGGGCAGAGGCGGAACAGATGGCCAGCTCCACCTCCAAAGAGAACAGTTCCGTGGGAAGGGGCCGGGGGCCAGGGGACTGGGGGAAGGATGGGGCAAGATGGCCCAGAAAAGAAATCCACGGGTGCGCGTTTCCTGCAACGTGAGCCATCAGCAGAGCCCTTGATGGGAGCTGAGGTCTGGGGGCGTGGCAGAAAGCGGTAAACCCAGACGGCTGGTCCTGGGACAGCGGCTGGGGCAGGGGGCTCCGTCCTTTCCCCTTCTCCCCTTCCCTGACTTCTCGAGATCCCAAGCCAGGATTGGTCTCCTGCAGGAGTCATGACCGACGGGGCGGGAGCTACCGAGGCTGTCACCCGAGCCTTGAAACCCGAGGACGGGACGCAGGGGCCGGTGTCACTTACAGCTATGGGTTTCCAGATGCAGAGGGGCTGAAGTGGACTGGGACAGGGACGGGGCGGGGAGGAGCTCGAGAAACCTGGGCCCTCTGCTTTAGTTCGCCAGGGCCCTGTTAGGGAGAGGTCCAAGTGCGGTTTTCTGAAAGGTGCAGAGCCATCAAAGCTGGGGAGGAGTGTCCCAGGGTCCGCAGCAACTTACCTCGAGTTGAGGTTCCAAGTCAGCGTGGCGGGGCCTGTCGTGGAGAATAGGTGTAGAGGGGCTCAGGGGTAGTAGGGCCCCACTGAGGAGGTGAGGCAAACATCTGGCAGGCTTGGGCTGCGAAGGGGGAGGAGGGTCGGAGGGGACTTCGGTGATGGGGCGTGGCCCAGCTCCCTAGGTAGCGGCCCCACTTCGGGGCCGGGGGGGGTGGAGCCCAGTAGCCAGGGATTGGTGGGGTGCTGTCAGGACCCAGGAGCGGATAGGCGAGCAGGCCGTTGGTCGGTGTTGTAACTTGAGAGGGCAGATCGGGTAGCGCAGGTGTCGGGTCCGCGCCGCCCCCGCTAGCAGGTGCAGAGCGGGGCGTCACCGGGCACAGTCGCAGGTAGGGCAGCCGCTGCCCAGGGCACTTCGGGGACTAAGGGCCGCGTACCCTGGGAAGGGCGCGGGACTCTGGGCGCGGGCCGCAGATCGAGAACCGGCCCTAGGCAGCTGAGCTTTCTGGGGCCCATCAGAGCCGTCGAGGAAGCTGGATTTTAGCAACCCGGAGGCCTTGACAGGGCCCGGCGGAGGCGCTTGAGAATCCTTCTCCCTGCCCCAACCAGCCCTTTCTGACCGTCCCCTGCGCTAGGGGGCTGGCCCAGCCGTCTGGGAGCAGCCCTTCTGGCTCCTTCACTTCAGGAGTAGGCCCGGCCAGCCATCCCTTACTGTGTGTGAGCAGAGGGGAGCCCTGTCCCACCCCTGCACTCCCCATCCGCATCTGCTTCCTCTCCCCAGGGCCGCCCGGGGGAGCGCGGCCACAGATACCCCCAGCTCTGGCTGACACAGGGCGGGGTTTGAGCTAGTTCCACTGAGGCGGTGGGTTAGACAGAAGTCGAGCCTCCGCCGTCAGGGGTGGAGGGTGCTGTCTCCCCGCCGGCCGACCCGCAGCCCACGCTTGGCGCTCCTCCCTCCCTCGCAGCTGAGCTCCCACGACGGCCACGACGGGCTGCGGCGGGTGGACTCGGGCCGGAAGTCCCGCAGCTTTGGCAAACAGCCCAGCACCGGGGACTATTACCGCCAGCTCGGCTACGGCCCCGGGGAGCCCCTGGCAGCCAGTCTGGGGATGGCCCATAGCGAGGAGGTGAGAGCCTCGCAGCCCAGCCCCCGGCCCGTCTCATCCCCTACCCAGGGGGCTTTTCCTCCACCTGTCCCCAGCTCCCACGTTTCCAGGGGCAGGACTCTGAGCTGCCCCCGGCCCAGCTCCCGAGACCCTGACAGCTTGGTCATTCTCTTTTGCTTATGCCCTCAGGCCTCTCTCCTCTCCGGTAGCCACGTGCACAACGGCAGCGTCGCAGACCACAGGGTGTCCAGGGACCTACCGCCCCCGCCCCCGCCCCCACCCTTGCCCGAAGCCCTGAGTGCACCACCCCCACCGCCACCTTTGCCCATCGAAGGGTCCGGGCCTGTCTGCAGCCAGCGCCGCTCCTCCTCTTCCACCGGCAGTGAGTTTGGGGGGCTGGGGGCGGGAGGAAGGGTGGCAGAGATCCTAGCCCAGCACCGTGACCCAGTCCGGTGTGAAGCCTTCCCAAGAGAAACAGGGAACTGGGGGCGATGGAGGTGGAGTCCCTTGCAGGCAAAGGGCTCAGATGTGAAGAAGAGAGATTGCAAAGCATGGTGGCAGCTTTTGTGCTATATAGCCAGGATGATGCTCTGCGGGGGGGTGAGGGAGGAGGAGGAAAGGTATCCCAGCCGCCAACCCCCTGTTTGGGGGGTCGGGGAAAGGATCTAATTATTAGTCAGTCATCTTTTCATCTTGTATCAGAACTCAGTCAATTCAGGGGTGTCCCTTGAAAGAAGAAAGGTCAGAGCTATCATCTCTAATTCGAACCAATGCATAATTAAAAAAAAAAGCACTTTGGGGGCTGCATGTATTTCCCCCTTACCTCACCTCGGTATTCGGGGGTCCACAGTTTTACCTGCGTAGCTAGTTGACTTTTGAAATCATGACTGTGGAATCTGGGATGAAAGATGTCCCCTCCAGCACCAATTTCCTCATCTCCATCAATCTCGTTCAGTATCTGTAGGAAGCTAGCCTGACATTAAACCTGGAGCTGTGATCAGCTGACACTCAGAACAATTGAAGTAGACCATAGCATGTTCTTTTTCTGATATCTGCTCACCAGCTAGTTATCCATCCATGCATGATCTATCCAACAAACCATTCATTCAAAAAGGGCCTCATAGAAGTGGGCCTGTGCTAGGCTCTGAGAACAAGACAGAAGTGAAACAAGCCCTGCCCTCTAGTTTACATTCTTTCCATTTCCATCAAAATTTCTATTTCTGAAGGTCCTTATTTCTTACACTTATAAACTTTTTTTCCTAATGCTTCCATCCAATATCCCATTTCTACTCTTGCCTTCCTCCTTCACCCTGGCTCCTATTCTCAGTCACCTCCCTGAACCCCTGAGATTACAGAGGGCTCACAGATATCCAGGAGAGAGTTGAGCCATTTTCCCAAGTGTAAAGTGGTAATTTGGGTTAAGAGATCCTGAAACCCATGCATCTGAATCCTCTTCCTGTTTCCTGAAGTGAGAACCATCCTCCAACCCACAAACTTGATGTCTGTCTTCTACAAAGGGCCTGAGAGAATCCTAACCACACCCCAAATCAGTGGTTGTAGGTGTCTTACCTTCCCATCCCTACAGCAGGAATTTTCCTCATTTCAGAATCTTAGGGTTCACAGTGACCTAGCTTGGGGCAAACTCAGGCAGGCTCAGATATTCAGGCCAAGGGTGGTTGAGCTATCAGATCTATGACCAAAGGAAGATGTCTAGGTTTCTCCACACACCCACACACACCCCAAAAAAACTGGGCAATGTTAGAGTTCAGCCTCCCTTCCAAGGGAATAGGGGATAGAGCACTGCACTTGGAATTAGGAAGATCTGGGTTCAAATACTACCTCAGACACTAGCTGTTGAACTCTGGGCAAGTCACTGTATCTTACTTCCTCACTAATAAATGCAGAGGTTAAATTCAATGGCCTCTAAGATCCCTTTCAGCTCTAAACCCAGCTCAGGCCTCAGATCCAAAGACCCTTCCCCTCCTCTGGATCTTACTGGCGTTGGGAGTGATGGAAATTGAGGTAGGTGCTCCTCCTCCCCCAGACTGGAACACTCCCAACCACGCTTCCAGATGGAGGGCTAAGAAGAAAAAAGGGGAAGCACACTTGGCTTAGTTACTCAGCCTGGGCGTGTAGGGATAATCTTATCCTCCCTTCTCTTCCCTTTCCCTACTCCCTCCTTCCCTTCATCTGTTCCCTTGGGCATCAACCTGTCTGTTGTCCTACCCACCACCCACCATCCCATTTGCACTCTCTCTCTCTCTCTCTTTCTTTCTGTTCTCCACAGGTTCTCTGCCTCCTCATGTCTCTCCTAACTCTGTTCTGTTGCTTTTTTCTCCCACCCCCTTCCCTCTGCCTCCTAGAAGTGAGAGCTTTGAGGTGCAGGAAGAGTGAGTACCAGGCCTGCTTTCTACTCTATTTGTTTGAGGGGCCTAAAGGGCTCTGGGAGGGCATGGGGGAAACACAGACAGAAGAAAAGAGATGGTGGACTTTGGGAGTGTAAATGGGGCAAAGGATGGACCGCTGGATGACTAGGTGTTGTTCTGACAGATGGTACTGGGGGGCAATCCTCCCTGGTACACAAGGAAGAAGAGTCTGCCTTGGAATCAGGAGATTTGTTTCCTCCATACCAGCATTCCTGTCAGTTTTGCCTATGAAAATAATTCCTATTTGTGCCCCTCCCCTTCATCTTCACTTCCCTTCTTCCTTTCCAGTGGCCCTTCCTGGAGGCACTTAGATATCCCCTCCCCCAGATCAAGAAGAGGGGAGAATGATTTGCTCCTGACTCCAATCCAATCCCTTCCCGGAGACAACCCCTTGATTCCCTCTCCTACCCCCCCCAACAGATACAATCCGGGAAATGCAAACTTGAAACTGGGACTTTGCATGTTATCACACAGAACTTGGGACTTTCCCCAAAACACCACACCTCAACTCCATGCATCCCCATTCCTCTGTTCCATGAAGAACCACTCTTCAGGGCTGCCTCCCCACAGAATTTCAGTCTTTTATCAGGGCTGGGTTGGGAGCTCTGTATGTGTGTGTATGTGTGCTTGAGCTTAGGTGCACTTGTTTGAGAAGGGGGTGGGGGTGCCAGATGCTAGGACACTTGGGTCTAGTGAGATCCTGGGTTTCTAGGGCCCTGGGCCAGGACAACTTAGTTCAAGGATCACCAGGCTTTGCTGATGAAGCATAGGGGTGGGTCTGGAACACTCAGGGAGACTCCTCCCTGAGACCAGGAAACTAAGGAACAAAGGTCAGGTGGCTGGCCAGGGAGATCACAGATCAGGGTGAACACCCTGCTGCATCAGGCACACCTTCTCTTTACCTCTGGGTTTAGCCAGGCTCACCATGAGTGTCCAGGGGCATTCACCCATGGGTTGCCCCACTGGATCCAGTAAAGTTGGCTCCCTCTCACTTCGTAAGTACTGGCTGACTCCCACTAGTAGAAGTAAGAAGGTGGGTGGAGGAGAAGCATGGTGTTCAGGACAGGGAGAAGGAAGCTGCTTGGTAGGGGGACTGGTCTGGGTACAGAATTGTGCTCATGTTGCTTTACTCCCAGGGGGACTGGAGGGATCTTCCGGGATTACTGTCTTTGCTAGAAAGCTGTACTGCCCACCCCAAGCAGGGCATTGCCTTGCTCTGGACTGGCTTACGTGATGCCTGGGTCCTGCCTGGTCTTTTCTGGGCCTTACTCTCAAGTGGGCTAGCCAGGACTTTGGAGTTTGGGTTTGGAGGGGGTGGGCAGGGCTTGGGCTGGGGATCTCTCATGCTTCAGCATTCTCTTCTCTCACCAGGTACCAAGTCCTTCAATATGATGTCCCCAACAGGAGACAACTCTGAACTCCTGGCAGAGATCAAAGCAGGGAAGAGCTTGAAGCCAACGCCACAGAGCAAGGGCCTCACCACAGTCTTCTCAGGCAGTGGACAGCCCCCTTCTCTGGTAAGGTGGAGCCCCCTCTTCCAACTCGTGCCTGCGGCCTCGGGCTCCAGGACCTTCCAATCAGAGAGCTGTCCATCACCATGCCTTCCCTTTCCAGACAGATGCTCCGCCCCTGTCTCCATCACTATCCCGGGCCAGGAGCCCCACTCCACCAGCTAGTTCTATTCCTGGGGCAGGAGGAGGCCCCCATCAGCCTGTCCTCAATGGCAGTGTGGCCCCACCACTGACTCCAGCACAGAACCTACAGCTGGATGTCGAGACTCTGATCCCCACACATGATGAGCAGGGCCGCCCCATTCCTGAATGGAAGAGGCAAGTGATGGTGCGAAAGCTGCAGATGAAGATGCAGGAGGAAGAGGAGCAGAGGCGAAAGGTGGGCCTGGGGCCTGGCCACTAGTGCCTTCCTACTCTTACTCCAGCCTATGGGCTCTTGGGGAGCTCCCCTTCTTGACCATCTGGCAAATTCAGACCCAGCCCTGCTGACTGGCTTCCCCAGACCAGAAGCCTGCCTTGTTCCCCTCCCTTTAGTCCCTCCCTGCTCTTTGCCACCATCTGTGTGACTCTTTGGAGACCTCAGCCATCATCACAGGCTGATATCCCTAGTCATACATTCAGAGATCTATTCACCAACAGATCTATCAGCTACAAACAATGTTTTGTTTTTAGTAGATTGAAGGGACAAAAGGATGTTTATGCAACTCTCTCTTCTGAGAGGAGTCCCGTAGGTCCAGGCTGAGAGAATCCTCAGTACTCTGGAGCCATCAGCCCACAAAATATGGATTGAGAGCAAAAAGAAGTCTAACAGCTCCTAGCTTTTGTATGGGTCACGGACTCTTTAATATTCCGGGGAAGCCCATGGACCTCTTTTCAGATTAATTTTTTAAAATGTGAAATGGAAAGAAATGCTCAATTTGAGTTAGAGGTTATTGAAAATAGATGTAATCTTTTCCCATTCAAGTTCATTCACTTTCTGGAGTATACAGGGCCCAGGTTAAGAAAACCCTGCCTCAGCCAGGGTTTTCTTTCCTTTCCTGTTTAGAAAAGGAGAAACTTGCAGTCAGAAATTCCCAGTCTTGCATTTCCCCCCAGTCCAATGCTTTCTCTCATTTAGATAAAAAATATTGAAGTTAGAGATTCAGAAAATAAACTAGAAAAAGCAAATGGAAAAGCAACAGTGGTGACTATAGTTACAGGAAGTCAAGGGCATCCGAGTTCAAAGGATCACAGCTGGATGCCACTGGACAGGGACACAAGGGACTCAGCATGAGGTGCATGATCCTTTTGGGGTGTCTTAAGAAGGATTTGATTACCTTTGAACTGAGGCTTTATCAGTTCTAGCCGTAAGCTTGAGCCCAGGGCTAAGTGGAGGTGCTTGTCTAGGACCCCGGTTTAAATGCCTTTTACAAGTTCCCTTGGTGGTGTAATGAGCGACCAGGCCCAGAGACCGTGTCCACAGCAGCAGCGAACCGGATCCAGCCTGGCCCACTCCTACGGTCAACCAGAGTGCCCCGGAGTGGGCTGCAGCGAGCTCTCACCCTGCTCCTGTTCCTCCTTGGCTGAAGCCTCTTCTCCATTGGCTGCTGCCCCGGTCTATCTGCACAGCCCTGCCCGACCTACCATTACACCACCCGGGATATGTAAAGGCTGAGGGTGTGCTGCCCGCGGGCCGCCGGGAGTGGGGCCAGAGGGAGACCTGCGTTCCCCTCCCCTCTGTTCTCTTCCCCGTCTTAGCTGACCGCTGGCTACTGCTGCTACCAACCAGAAGGCTGGAGGTTCTCCCACACACACAATGCCATGCTGGGGCCCTTCGGGGAGCTCATGACCGAAGAAGACATCAACCGTATCGAACAACAAATAGAAAACCTCCAGGTGATGCATAAGGCCCAGAAGCTGGAGGCGCAGCTGGAGCAGCTGGAGATGGAGCTGCAGCAGCTGCTGCCAGTCTCCACTGCGCTGTCCAGCCACCGTTTCACGGTCAACCCCCGCCGCATGCAGGGCCGGGCCGCTGACCTCCCCGCATGGTGTAGCAGAATCTCCACTCTGCTCAAGAGCATGGCCATACTGCTGGCCACTTTGGGGAGTCGACCGGCCCACCTGACAGATCTGGTGACTGCTGAGACAGGGCAGCCCCTAGCCCCCGTGGCAGACTGGCAGGCAGGGTCCGTGGGCCTCGGACGCTCATACTCCTTCAGCTGCAGCCGGGAGGAGGTGGCCCGTGAGATCTTGGAGTGTGGCGTCTCAGTCAAGAATCTCAAAGCCAACTATGAGATGCACATGCAGAGCCAGGAGGCGGAGTACTGGTACCCACGCAAGCTCTCCTTGCCTGTGAGCGTCACCGTCTCTGATGTCTTTAGCCGAGAGCCCATCCTGGAGGAAGACTACGTGTCTGGAAGCATGACTCAGCCATGCCTGGGAGGGCGCTTGGTGGATGGTTCTTCAGGGGCCAATGGGTCTGAGCATCTCCTACTGGAGCCAGCAGAGCTGTCATCCCCTGAAGATCCCTTAGCTAGCCTGTACCCCCCAGAGGAGCCCGGAGACGAGGTGACAATTTTTGAGCCAGAACAGCTAGCACGAAGCCCACCCCTCTCAACCGAGCTTCGAGGCGTCCAGGACTATATCGACATGCGGAAGGAGCGCATCGTCTACCTCTTCCTGGAGCACTGGCGCAAGTGGACTTTCAGGGGCTCTGGGCGCCACACCCAGGCCCGCCTTCAAAGGTTGCTGCCCCGGGTGGTGGCAGCGGGGGCCCCAGAGCCTGAGCCCAAGCAGGTGCTGGAGAAGCCAGCCCATCACAGCCTTGGTAATGACCACCGGTTGCTGTATTTCATGAAGCAGCGGCACGTAGTAGGCAAATTGCTGGAACACTGGCGGAGTCTAATGCGCCACGTGCCCTCCCGGCAATTGCGCCGCCTGAGCCGGGTGCAGGGTCTGTACTGGCCCGAGCACTTCCTGCCCCATGTGGGTGGGGTGCCTGCCTGCTACGATAGCCTCACCCTGGACCTCTTCATGCTGGGCTATTTCCAGCTGCTGGAGATGCGCATGAGCCGGGAGGAACGCAAGTTCCGCCACCTGCTGTGCTATGAGATGTTTGACCGGCTAGGCAGTCATCCGTGGGAGCTCATCCGCCTTTTCCACAAAGTTGTGCTGGAGGAGGTGGAGGCTGGGCGTCGGGACTGGCAGGATGGCTTTGAGGACCTGAAGAGGGCATTCTTTGGAGACAGCCCAGAGCCCCCTGCTGAGGAGCCTCTGTCCCAGCTGCAGGCACCAGCCCCTGTACCTCAACCTCCACCTCCCCCTCTACCACCACCACTGCCCCAGGCTGAGCCCACACTTAGCCCTGGGCCACCAGCCCCTCCACTGGCTCCAACAGAGCCCTTCAATCGGGCTGACTCTTTACAGCTGGTAGCAGAGATGGGAGAGTTTAGCAACGAGGACATCTGTCGCTACATCGACCGAAGCTTCTCATTCTGGAAGGAGAAGGAAGCCGAGTTGTTCGACATTTGAGCAGTAGCAGTGGAGAAAGAGAAAAATCAAGTCGGCTGTCCATTGGGAATGGTGGAATCCACCCTGGCATCTACCTACAACTTCCAGCGCTATAGAAATGGGAACTGGATGTGTGAGAGCGGGGCTAGGCCATTTGCCCTGGAATTCGAAGCCCAGCTTAGGCTAATGCTGAATATAGTTGGGCCATTCTGGCCATAATCGCGAGGGCCTTTATGTTGAGGGACAGGCTGCTGCTGTGGTGTCTTTAGGAGGCTGGGACAGGGCAAGGCTGTAAAGCTGCCTCAAGTTCTCCTCTGAGCTTTGGCCAAGGTAGCTCCCCAGGGCAGTCATGGGGCTTGGGAGTAGATCCTCTCTAATGGATGATTCTCTACAAAGCTAAGAGGATGCTCTCTTTAGGACCTAGTCTCATTGTCCACTCTGCAGCCCTGGAACCACTAAGGAAGCAGACCTGTCTAGCTCCTGCCAACTAGTTGGGACTCCACTATGGTTTTGCAACTAGTTCCTGCCTTCTCCCCGAGATTGGGAACTGGGGAAGTTCTAAGCCCCGACTTGGCCAGAGAGCCTGGGGCTGGGGGGAACTGAGTTGTGTGCAGTGTGATGTGTGCAGATTACCTCTCCCTTGTTACACAGAATAATAAAGAACTTTGCCTTGAAGAGGTGCCTTCCATGGGCAGGCCCAAGATTGTCTTTGCCTTTTAGCTCATCCATTTACACCACCCATCAGGGCTCACTATTTGCCCTTCAGTGAAGCAATTGACAAGCAGGATACCTGGGTAGCACTCCTGCTGCCTTGGAGTATCCTCAGGTTTTACCCTCAAGGCAGAAGAAGGGTCAAGGATTGGTCATATTGTAAATATTTCTTGTCTATCCCAGTGAGATCTGAAACAGCTCCTTTGCCACACCAAGCTCTAAGGCTGGGTCTGTGAGGCCTTCTCTACCCCTTCCTCCCAGACTTTAATTCTGGAAGGTTGTGGTCACCCTACAACCCTCTGATCCTATTTCTTTCCACTGTTTTGGCCCTGCCTTGGGGGGGTGAGGGGCAGCTGTGTAAGCATACGGTGTAGGAAATGAGGTGATGCACTCTCAGATTCAAATTATCTTCAGGAAATATTGGAAGCTTTCCCAATAAGATCAGGGATAAAGCAAGGTCACTCACCATTTCCAATATAATTTTACACAGTACTAGAAACTCTGAGAAGTAGTGGATGTAGTGGTAGGCTTGGAGCCAGGAAGACCTAGATTCAAGTCCCCCTTCTGATACTTATTAGCTTTATGACCTTGCACATGTCACTTAAGCACTCTAGGTCTCAGACCACTGTAAGATTTCTCTATTAAGTTATTATTAGTAATAAATAACATTATTAGTAGCAGCTTCTATTAAGGGTTGTGATTTGCCTTGGTGGAGGAAGTTCCCAGACCTCCAAAATCACAGATTCTTGGGATCTTGATTAGAAGTACTAGATATAACAATAAAAAGAGAAAGAGAGAGACAAAGGAAATTATAGGAATAAAGTCTCTAGCCCTGAAGGCCTCTATAAAAAGAGGCTGAAAGACTGTCCTCTCCTATTTTTCCTTCCACTTCTCCCTTCCGAAGGTCTTCCACCATCAACTCCCCAGTCCTTGTCCTCCTGTTCTTTAGTTGCCAAGACCTCCAGGTTCCAGGCCTCTGCTTAGCTCTTTCCCCTCCCTCTCCAACTATGAGGAATCATCCCCTGGACTCTGACTTCCTCTCCACCCTGCTGCATACTCTACTCCTGACCTCCTCTGGCTGTGTTGCAGGAGGAGGAGGAAGAAGCCCGTCTGGCCAGTATGCCTGCCTGGAGGAGGGACATACTTCGGAAGAAGATGGAGGAAGAGAGGTAAGCTGAGCATTGAACGTGAGGGACACCATGCTGCCAAGGAGAAGTGGGAAAAGGCACTGCTAATCCACTATTTGTTTCTCCTTCCAGGGAACAAAAACGGTGAGTGTGACCCTATTCTACCTGGAGCTACCCAGGCCAAGTTCTTCATACCCCTTTCTCCCAAATAGCTCAGATACTCCATTCTGTCCTCTGCAACCCCACATCTCTCTGCCCCTAGTAATCTTTGCTGCTCATTCTCATTCCTGTCCTCTTCTCTCCCCCTGCCCAATAACCTGGGCCATTATCCACCTCTCTCCCGTAATCTTTTCTGCTGTGCCCATTTCTTTATTTCCCTATAACCTGACCGGCTGCCCTCATTCTGTCTCCTATAATCTGACATTTTACCTATTACCTATTATCTATTACTTTAATGTGTTGCCTTATCTGTCTCCCCATAATCTGACCTACTGCCACATGAGACCCCATTACTTTGACCCGTTGCCCCGTCTCTCTGAGGTCCCATAACCTGCCCGGCTGCCTCCAGCCTTCCGTTTTCCTTAGGGGATGACTGATATACCATATTCATCCTTCTGTCCCTCCCAGCACTTGCTCTTCTCATCCTCTGCCTCTCCCCCAGTAGCTTAGGTTCCTCTCCCACCCTCTCTCTCTCTCTCTCTCATCCTGGGTTCTTCTTCGGTAAGCAGAAAAGAGGAGGAGAAACTTAGGCTGGAGGAGGCGCAGCGGGAGAAGGAGCAGTCGGAGAAGCTCAGGACACTGGGGTATGACGAGACCAAACTGGCGCCCTGGCAGAGACAGATAATCCTGAAGAAAGGAGACATTGCGAAGCACTAGGTGCAGCGAGGGCCCTCCCGCCTCCCGCCCCTGCCCCAGCCTTTGCTGCGACTCTCCCCGCCGGTCCCTCCCTCAGAGCTGCTGGGACGGGGGCTAGAATTGGGGAGGGAGGATCAGGCTAGGGCTTGGCGAGATAAATGGTCTGGGCTCTGCTTCTGGCAACAAGCCCTCGTCCTTCTGATTTCTTTCCGACTCTCGGCCCCTACTCCATCCCCCCACCCCCACAGTATGGCCCTGTAGGTTTCGTCTCCACTAGATCCCTCCTGCATCCCGCCCATCACCCCGGGGAAACAGCGCCGCAGTCTGCATACAAAAAGTGCCCAAGCTGTGGACTCAGAGAGAACCGCTGCTGATTTGCATGCTAGTTTGCATATAATTTGCATGTTCACTAAATGTCAAAATGTACGAATATCTCCCAAACCCTGTGGGAGAGTGTTTCCCCCAGCCCCTTTTCTTGGTGTAGTCAGATCTGCAGCCTCCGCCCTGACTCCTACTCCCCCAAATTCAGTGGGGCTGACCTAACACAGACGGGGGTGGGGGTGGGGGTGGGGAGGAAGACTGCTGGTTGGGTAGTGCCTAGAGAGCTTGGACTGCAGCCCTGTGGGGCCCAAAGGTTTTTTCCTTTAATTTGTATTCTCCTCCCCCTTCCATCTAGGCTTTTCCCAACCCTTAGTTCGAGATCAGGGCTCACTTCCCATCCTGGCTTGGCCCGCCCTCCCTCCATTCCTCTGACAGTTTGCTTTCAGTCATTTGTTTACCAGAAAGTGAAAGAAAATTACCTACCCTGGAGCCCGAATGGGCGCCCCGCGTGATCCCTACACCCTTCCCCGCCCTCCACTTATTCCCTGCCCACACGTAGCATCAGCAGCCGCCTCTGGGGTACAGGCTTCCGCATCTGCCATATTACCCCCGTAAGCCCTCCCCCAACCCGGAGGCCCCTTCCCTAGGTCATTGCCAAGGGAACCGTTGGGGGAGGGGCGGGGAAAGGAGCAGGATGGGGCTTTTGTGTTTTCTTTTTTTTTTTTTCTAAATGTTTTTTGTCACTTTCCTCCCCTGACCCTCTGCGGAAAAGCCTCGGCCCTAGCCCCGCGTCTCCTGCCTCTTCTTTTCCTCCATTAAAGGAATCCACTGGTTATCCCAGGCTTGGGGAGGGGTTTCTCTCGCTCACTTAGTCACTTTGCGCTTTTTTTCTTGTTTCCAAAGCCGGTGAACTGGAGAGACGTACTGGGGCCTTATGGGAGGCGGGGCTTTGTAGAGTGGGGCGGAAACAAAGGCGATCTGAGATTCAACTTTCCTAGGGGAGAAAAACGCAGCCTCGAGACCCGGGAGTAATGGACCGAGAAATATTTTGAGTGCCCTTCCCGTCCTGCCCCAGGCCACTGAGTTCATTTAGCTGCTGTCGTCCCAGTAACTTGTTCCCAATTCATTACACCTTTCAGTGTCCTTGAAGAACTAGCCCCCACATACCCACAGACCCACACACCCAAAACGTTTACGCAGGCGAATTTGCTGCTGGAGTTTAATATTGAACTAGCAGCAACCTCCAAGCGCTGAGAAAGGTTAACGCCCTCTGTCCTAGCACAGACACGCGTATCCTCCCGAACTCGGTTCTGAGAGGGAGGAGGGGTAGGGGGAGGCGGAGGAAATAGCCGCTCCAAATCAGGGGCAGTGTAAGTGACATAACATGTCTACAGACTTAAGTAACCATACTTAGGGCTTCGGGCGGCCACCACCTCAGGGGCCTGAGCCGCCTTTTTTTCCGCGGCCGGCGGGCTGCAGAGAAGGAGAGAGGCAGGGCACCAAGAAGACGACAGTCTCTTCTCCACCACGGTTACGGTCACGGTCACGGTCACGGTCCCCGCTGCAGTCGGCTGCGCAGATCTTCGGCGCAGCCTTCCAGTCCCATGCGCTCCAGGGCGGCGTATACTGCGCCCAGCCCTGCGGGCTGCTGCTGGCGCCAGCGCTTGAGCATCTCATATTGCTGGTCGCGAAAGCGGCCAATCTCCGCCTCTACTGCCTCGATCTCCGCCTCCCGAAGTCCCAGGGTTCGCACGAACTCCTTCCAGCGCCGCGCGGGCACCGCGTCCATCACCTCGTACAGCTGTGGGCCGGGCTGGAGAGTGCCGGCCTCAGGACCTAGAAGCAAAAGTTGGCAGTGGGGCCACCCGGGAGAAATTGGAAAGTGGTGGGCCGGAGGGGGTAGAATCACAGGGAACCAAGATGGAGAGGCTCCAAGGGCTGAAAGATAATCATTGCTGTGTTCCCCATCCCAGGATCTAAGAGAGGAAGAAGTCTGGCGTTTAACCCATCATGCTCACCATTCCCTCTGCTGGGCGGTTGACCCCAGAGCACAGGCCATGCATTTTCTGGGCCCGCGACTTCCCGGGCCAGTGGAGGACTGCTAGGACCACAGTTCCCCACAAGCGGTAGGGCACACATCTCATTGTATCTATTCAGAGGCAGGGAAGGTCTGCCTACAGGTGAAGGGTTGACTACCTGAAAGCAAAGAGAAGCCCAGACGCATTCCCTTCACCAGGCAACCATCACTCAGTCCTAGCACATCAACCAGGTGACACACCCTCTCACCTCCCAGACACACCCATCTTCCATACCCAATGGCGTTTCAAGGCCTCCATTTCCGTTTCATCTGCCAATTTGAGACAAAAGAGGAGCGGGTCAATTGTTGAACTGGGCTCCAGCACCCCTAGCGCCCTTCTTCAGGATGTCTCAAGGCCTATTTCCAGCTCCTATGGAAATCTAGGCTGGGGTCCTTGAGGGGTTGTTAGGTAGGTTGATACTTACAATGAGACTGGGGTTTTAGGACCCAGCATTTCCGGTAGCTGTAGAACAGGCCCCCTCCTAGCAAGAGCAGAACTGTTAGCAACGTTGGCGCCGCCAAGAAGTACTGGAGCCAAACCCCTGAGGAAGAAGGGGATCTGGAATAAGTATCCCCTGTTACTTTTGTTCCTGACCTCCAGTAAGGTCAGAAGCACTAGAAGGCCCAGTCAGAGTCTCACCCAAAGAGTCTTCAACTACCTACCCTTCTTGGAGCTAGAGATCCCAGAGCAGATCTCTGAATGGCTCCCGGAATCATTCCCCCAGTGGTTACCTGCAGGCTGGCTAGGAGTGGTCCTTGGGTTGATCACTGTGGACAGTTCCTTTTCACTCTCAGTTCTGTAGAATGTGCAAAGAACTAGTGTAATGGAACTCACACTTCAGCTAGTCCCCTATGAATGTATTAAATCCTGTTTAAAATATTTTGGGGTAAAGAATTCTAAGCCAATATTTTTGTAGAGCAAAGGATCACCATCCAGCTTCTCCCTCTCTTTTTGTTTTTGTTTTGGTTGGAATGGGAGTATCACCGTACTTTGGGTTTGCCTGAAGTTAGGAGCATACCTTTTCTGGGGCCCCTAGGAAATGAGTAGCCAAACCTGTACAGCATCCTTCCATCACCTGTGCCGTTATCCACCACTTCGCCACTAACTGCAGTGACTGCAAGGAGCTGTGTCTAATCTGGCCCATCTTCCCCAAAAGCTATGCTCTTTTGTACCTTCTTTTCCCAAATCAAATACTTACACTTTACCATCCCCATCACCCAATCAAACCCAGACTCCCTCCTCTCTTGCCCTTCAGCCCTGTCCCCAGTGACTTGGTTTCTTTCCCAGCACCAGATGGTGTTTTGCAGGCCCTTTGCCCCTCTCCCGAGTACCCCCCTTCTTTCTTCCTGCTGTGGTACATATGAACACACTCCCCTATCCATCCACTCGTTAGCAACACCCCACCCTAGGGAGAAATGAGAGCTGGTTTGGGGTGCCCTCGGAGGACAGGGTAGTTACATGGAGCAGGGTGCAGAAACACAACTGTTCTTCTGGTCCTGACAGAAGCCTGGCAAACAGCTCCCACAAACAGAGTCTTCTCCAGAACCTAGGGACAGCCCATAAGAAATTGACATTAGGTTTGGCGGTAAATATAGCCAGGGATGAGTGGATAAAGGGCCACGCAGTAGTGTGCAGAGGAGAAAGGGAGAAACTCACAAGGGACCAATGTATGTCGGTGCAGACTCTCACAGTTCTGGCATTGAATGCAGAGGAAAGGTGAATCAGTCCTGCAGGGGTTTACAGAGCACTCAGGGAACCAGCCAGGAGCACAGCCACACTGGGTGTTGGCCACCGAGGAGCAGTTCCGGACAACAACCTGATAGGCAGGGCCTGAGAGGAAAGTCAGAGACCAAGCCCAGTGCAGAGGCCCAGCACACCAGCCTTCAGAAGACAGGGATTTTTGTCTTCATCTTCAAAGCACAGTGCCTGGCTCAGAGTGGGTTGAATTGACTTGAATAAAGAAACTTAAAGATGGATCAGACAGAAGGAGCAGAAAGAGAACCAATACTCAATCAATACATGGGCAGAGAGAGAACTAGAGATAGCTGAGAGAGAATCAGACATAGACCAGCACAGAGAGGAAGGAAGGAAGGAAAGGGAGGGGGGTAGAGAGAGACTGAGAAAATGAATCGGAGCTAGACCAACACAGAAAGAGAATGGAGTGGGGGAAGGAGAGGGAGAGTGACAGTAAGAGAAAGACAGATACACAGAGGCAGAGTGATACAGAGACAAAGAGCTAAAGAATGAATGAAGGAAGGAAGGAAAGGAAGGAAGGAAGGAAGGAAGGAATAGAGAAAGAAAAATCATAGGAAATTAAATGTTTGTACCCTACCATCCTCATCACAGAGTCGACATCGGGCACACTGCATTGACTTATGGTCCTCCTTAGACAGGAAGGTGTCCTGATGGCAGGGTTGACAGGAGGAAGGGCCTTGGGGCTCAGTGCAGGCAGCTTCCAGGAAATGCCCTAAAGATAAGAACCCCAACCCTGAGTGATCGATGAGTAAAAAAAAGGGAGCAGGGGACCCAAAATTCTCCCCCCAAAAGCTTTCTCAATTGATTTAAGGTGCCCCTCACCCTTCCCATCTTTGGAGTCCCCAGCTCTTGCTCTTCCCAATTCTGCTAACTGATTCAAAGGCCCACAAATCTTCCTTCTCATCTCACAAATCCCACTCTAAACTCCCTCAGAACCCTGACACTTTGTTCTTCAGCATCCCCAGACCCCTCCCTCGCAGCTTCTCACCTGCTGGGCAGCTCCTACAGCACTGTCTACTTGACTTGTCCCAAAAATATCGGGGACTTGAGCAAAGCTGGGATTTCTGAGAAAGGGGACTCTGGTTGAACGTTGGGCTCAGCCCTGGGGAGGTCCTGGGGCTCCTTTGAAGGGGTGGGAGTTCCTGATGACCAGGGTCCAGAGCATTAACTTCTACCATCACCACCAAGAGGAACACCTGGGGAAGGGGGGGAGCAGAAAGCTGATTGCCTCCCCCAAATAACACTCACCAGACCTGAAGATTAGCTTCCAAACCATGTTCTCTACACTCATCTTGGAGGGGACATTCTAGAAACTTCCTGCTAGCCCTTGCAGGCAAAAGTATGGGAGAATCCTGGGTAAAGGGGTTACCCACTCACCCACCTCACCCTTCATCTGAGAGCCAGCCCAATCTCCAAGGGGCTATATGTGTAGGAAGGGGGTGGGACAGAGACAATGCCCCCAAAGCCCCATATGCAATTCTGGGACATAGCAGCCAATGTTTGAGTGTTGGGGAACCAGGACTTCCTGAACATCCAAAAGCCAGAGGGTATGAGTTGGTCCCTCCAGGGACAATCCACTCAGCCCTGGGACCTCCTAGGATCAGAGGATGACTGGGGAGATAAGATCTCTCCATTTAGATCAGGCGTGGGAGACTTGAGGGTTGACCTATCAGTTCTGTTCCTGGATCACCTCAGGGCCCCCACCTCCCACTGAGAGGAAGGGGGCAGGCGCTTCCTCCTAGCTAAAGGGCCCCGTCCTGCCTGTTCAGCGGATATGTAGGTCAGGGTAGATCAAGGAAGGAACTCGAGCCGGCTGTCCCCAGCCCCAGCCCTAGCCCCCAACTCTCGACCCTCTTCATAGATAGGGTCCTTGGGAGTCCTCCCTTCGTCCCCAGAGGCAGGTATGGATGACTAAGGCATTCAGATCTAGTTCGCAGTCTGGGGGGAGGTGAGGCCAGGGGGAGAGACACGGGACACCAGCCTGACTTTGATGCCCTACTGTGCCTCCTCCATGTGGAGAACTAGACAGACCTGGCGATGATCCTCCTTCCTCCATAGGTTTCCTCGTTCCCTCTCATCCCAGACCCTGGACTGAGGGTCCCAGCAGCCTGGAGTCCCCGTGTATTGAGATCTCTGTTCCCCCGAGCCCCGCCGCCCGAGTTCTGGTCTCCTCCCACCCAGCCCCAGAGGTCTGGAGGTCTTCTCCCCCGCTGAGCTCCCCCAGAGCACCAGCGGACCGAGGTCTCTTTCCCCTGGAGCCTTTCCACCACAACACTCCCTCCCCAGCCCCGCGCCGTCTCTGGGCCGAGATCTTCTCAGCCTCCCAACTTCCTAGGCTGAGATCTCGCTGTAGTGCCCCTTCGACTGAGCTCACGATTCTCCCGGACTCGGTAGGATGAATTCTTTACCCCCACCGACGGCCTCTTCTCTTCTCCCTTACCCCTCAACCCCGCTGCCTAAGGTCTCTGGAACCCATCCCGTGGCCAAGGGAGGCCCAAGGCTAGCTTTCCCCACCTCCTCCAGATTCGATCCCCGCTCCCTCCTTAAGACACGGGTGCCCCCCTTTTCCCTTTCATCGCACCCCCACACAGAGACACACTCACCCGCGCCACGGCTGCGACTGTGCTGCTCCGGGGCAGCATTGCTCCACACCCCACGAGTCTCCCCTCCGGGCCTGGCGACTCGACTCAGCAGGAGAGGGGTGGAGAAGGGGCGTGCACAGGTGGGGAGACCCGTGGGGCTTCCCCGCCTTGCCCCAACCCCAGCTCCCCGCCGTGCCCCAGCTCCGCCCCCTTGAGGATGTGGGCTACCTTTTGCCTCTTTTTGTATCCCCAATGCTTAGCACAGTGCCAGGCGAGAAGTAGGCGCTTAACATTTGTTAACTGACACAAAGCAGCGAGCCCATTCCTGAAGCCCCTTATATATTTGAGGGTCAGAGGACTGTCGCTGTCACTTCCTTCTCTAGGCTAGTTTCTCTTCGGTTCTAAGAGCCTCTGATCAATATCTCCTGGGCAGCTCCACCAGGACCCCGGCTTTGGGTTACAAGTACCAGGATCTCTATGGCCCAAGTAAGAAATTAGCTGAGGTTAGGCAAAGTGGAACAGTGGATTTGGAGTCAAGAAAGGACTTGGGTTCAAATTCGAGTACTGCCAGTTATGAGCTATGTGACTTTAACGACATTTAACCTCTAGGGGCCTGTAGTGTCTCTATCTGCAAAATGAGGAGTTCGGACTTCTTGACCTCTCAAGCTGCTTCCCCCTCCTATTTATATAAGAATCATAAGAGAGAAGCAAGTGATCCAGCACTAGGTTTTTGTTTGACTCTTGTGACCTTGGGCAAGTCCTTTTATCTCTCCAAACCTCTATAAAACTAGAGGGGTAGGGGATGGGGTGAGGGGTGCTGGGCTAGGTGACCTCTAAGATCCCTTATATGGTCCTCCCTACAGCCAATTTACAGATGAGAAAATGAGGTCCAGAATGGGAAAGTGACTTATCCAAGACCAGGAAGGCAGTTAATTAGCAGATTTGTGGCCCTGACTCCAAATCCAATGTTCTTTCTCCCATGACCTACTGCCTCCCCTTGGGGATCCCCATCTCTCTGTCTCCCCTAGCCTTACTCTCCTATCCCACTTGTCAACAAATGTTTGCTCCTTGAATCCCCCGTGAGATATTTCTGGCTGACAAGGGCATTGAAACCTTGCCTCTCTTTCCTATCTGGGTGACTTTGGGTGAGTGAGTTACCTCATCTGTAAAATGAGTATGATGATATCCTGGTACAATGGGAAAAACAATGACTCAGTCAGAGGATCTGAGTTCAAATGCTACCTTTGACATGACCTGTGACCTTGGGAAGATCACAACTTCTCTGACCCTCAGTCTGTTTCTGTGTAGAATGAGGGGGCTGAACGAGAGGGTCTGAGGTCCATTTCAGTTCTAATTCTAGGAATCTGGGAAAGACTTCTATTTATTGTCCTGGGGGAAGGGGGGAAGCAGGGCCCCTCATTCCTCAGATAGTGTACAGGTCATCTTAATGCCTGAAGCAAGGGTTTCATTCACTGGGGCTTACAGCACCCCCAGCCTCCAACAGAAGGAGGAAGATTCCTAAGGCTCTTCCCCCAGGGAGTAAAGAAAGCATACACTGGGAAGGACAGAGGAGGAAACCCAGGATTAAGAATGAGGTACCCATAGACCAACTAGATCCCAAGTGCCCCAGGCCAAGACCTCCCACTTTCTCCCAACGAGGTATGGCAGAGGCAAGGGGAAGAAGTGATCACATCACCACCTCCTCTTTCCTCATAAAAGAAATGGAAACCAGAGACCCATGGGGAAAACAGAACGCACTCTTATCACACAGGAGAATATACACAAGTCTTTATAAAAGAAACCCAAAGCTCAATAAATATGCACCTTTATACACAGGGGGATTTGGGGGGCGGGGCTGTCCCTTGTTCCCCACCCCGTGTGGGCTTGACTGGGGGAGTAGGACAGGGTTGAGGGCACTTCCTGGGTCTACCTATTTGGGGACAAGAAAGGAAAGAGGTCAGCTGGGGGGATGGTGGAGAGATGGCCCAGTGGCTTAAAGGAAGGGTGTCATAATTCAGCCGGGGAGGGGGGTGTTTGTGTGTTGAGGATGGGGATTCCTGGGGTTGGACCCTCCGAGGTGGGGTCTGGAGAAGCAGCAGTGTATGTGTGAGCTGTGAGAGGGAGCAGCTAAGAGCTCAAAGGGTGGATGCCTGGTGGGAGCCTCCCCAGGGCCTTCCTGTCTCTCGGCCCAGGCGTATTCAACAAAGTGCAATTTGGTTCCTGGTTTCCAGCCCTCAATCTCTTCCCTGGAGACTGATGTCCTGGTCTCACACTGAGTGGATTGGGGGCACATCAGTCAGAACTAGGCCATCTGTCTGTCTGTGTGACCATCCATCCATCCATGGCACCCTGGGGTCCTCCTGCTGCTCAGACTTCTCTGGAGGACAAGTAGGGGAAGGGGAAAAGAGGACAGGGTCTATGACCTGGTGAAGCTAGTCCTCCCAATAAAGCTACCTCAAGGGACATGAAGAACCCCAAACCCCAAAGCCCACTTGTGGCTTCCGCCCAGCAGCAACCTCTGCCTCACATCCTCACAATCTGTCTTCCCCTGTGACCCACCCCCCACACCTACCCTTGGCCAGTATCTATATCCTCAGCCCTGATGCCTTGCTCCCCAGAGTGCCCACGGGCTCCCCATGGACACTCACGATGCTGTCAGCGTGGAGTTTAGGAGAAGCGTGGTTCTAATCCGGTACAGCTGCGCCAGGGTCAGCTTCCTGTGCTGGCCTGAGGGCTCAGCCCTCAAGGTGGTTTTAGTGACTGGCTTTTCACACTCCCTCGAGAAAGGACACTCATCCTCCCGTCCAGGGGAGCACCCCCCATCTTCCACCTCTGAAAGCTCTGAGGCACTGCACGGGCTGGCCCCCCTATAGTCCCAGCTGGCACAGGCTTCCCGAAGTGGCTGGCATGGCCCCACCTGAGTCCTGGAGAAGCCATTGGGAGGGAGGGGAGTAGTTAGGCAAAGCTCAGACAGGCTCCGGCTAGGGGTTGCTGGGGGATCCCGGCCAGAAGCCCCTGAGAGCAGTTGTAGCAAGCTGGCCTCCGATTTGGATTTGAGTAAGCGAGGCCAAGGCAGCAGCTGGACAGGCGTGCGACGTCGGAGGCGGGGTGAGGGTGGCAAGGCAGGAGTAGGGGGGTCAGGTGGGTCAGGGGGCCTGGGGGCAGGAACAGGAGCCAGTTCCGAAGAGGCAACAAAGTCCTTCAGGGAGGTTGGGGAGAGCGTGCCATAGGCAGAATCGATGGAGCAAGAGCGGCACTCAGCCGCTGCCGAGGGAAGCAGTCCGTCGGACTCGGGGCCCAGCAGCTCACTCGTCGGGGTGGTGGACGAAGCTGTTGTGCTGATCGAGGTCTCATCCGACCGGGAACTGAATGGGCCGCCCTCAAAGTCCGGCGATGATGGTGTTTCCCCAGGCTCCACCACCACAATGGCTAGAGTCTCTGTGGAACCATCCGAGGGACTAGAAAGGAGAGGGGAGAGGGCCAGGGGAGCAAAAGGGGACTTTGAACAGGTCATCAGTCACTCGATCTGGATTAAACCCTGAGTTTGGGCCTAACCCTGAACACAATTAAGCACAAGGAAGGAGATACTGAAAAAAGTAAGATAGTGTAGGGTCCCTGCCCTCAGAGAGCTTACAGTCTACCAGTAGCAGCAGTAAAAACAACTCGAAAGTTAACAGTGCTTTCAGGCTTACAAAGACCTATCTTTTCAACACCTCCAATAGGTATTTTATTACATACAAGGAACTTTGGAATCATCTCCTTCCATTCATCCTCTCCATTCTACTTAGATGGCCAATACCCTAATTCAACTACTTCAATAGCCTGTTCATTAGGTCTCCCCTGCTTCCAGACCCCCCCCTTATCCAATCCATTCCCCACATAGATGCCAAAGTTATTGTGCTATAAAGTATAAGTCTGACCATATCACTCCCCTCCTCAGAAACGTTCAATGGCTCCCTATCACCTACAGGATAAAGTACAAAATTCTCAGCCTGGCACTTAAAGCCCTCTACAATCTAGCTCCCACAGACCTTTCTAGTCTATTTATTCTTCTCCTTCCTGCATCCTCCATTCCAGTCAGACCAGCTTGCGAGCTATTCCTCTCATGCAAAATTCCATCGCCTAATTTGGCGGCTTTGCCCAAATGGTCCCCACCTTGCCCAGAATGCATCCTTTTTTCACCATGAACTCTTAGAAACCCTAGTTTCCTTCAAAGCACAATTCACGTGAAGCAGCAGATAGAGCACTGAGCCTGGTGTCGGAAAGACCTGAGTTCAAATATGGCCTCAGATGCTTGCCAGCTGTGTGACCCTCTGCCTCAGTTTCTTCAACTGTAAAATGGGGATAACAATACCTATTCTTACAGAGTTGTTGTGAGGATCAAATGAAGTAATATTTACAAAGCACTTAGTACAGTGCCTGGCACATAGTAGGTACTTAATGTTTGTTGAACTGAATTGAATGGAATGAAGGAATTGCAGTTCAGAGAGGATAAGTGATTTACCCAAAGTGACCCAGCTAAGAAGAACCAGAGATGGCATTTGAACCCTTATCTTCTTGATTCTAAGCCCACTGCTATTTCCATTCTACCACTGCCTCTATAGGGCCTATGTCTTCTCTTCTCCCCTTCTGCCCCCAGCTCCAGAGCTGCTCTCTGCACACAGCAGGACCTCAATCACTGTTTGTCCTGTGATGGTGTTGTAAAAGGCATACCAGCGTTGGGAATCCAGGCTGTTGTTGCTTTTTCGAAGGATGGTAGGGGAGCTAGCTCCTGAGGTGCTGCTCTCTCCTTCCTCCTCCTCTTCCTCCTCATCCTCCTCCTCCTCCAGGCTCTGCAGATGCTGCTGCTGACTGCCTTGGTGTTCCTGTAGCCTCATCCTCTGCAGCAGGTTCTGTAGGCAGGGAAGGAGGTTCTAGGCATCAGGCACATCTGTGGCCCAGGCTTTTCCACATGTAACATACACAACTAACACTCTCCAGCTCAACCACCCCTTTTGACCTTTAGCCCACACCCACCCACACTGGGCACCTTACCTGAGCATTATAAATGGCTTCTACCCAGCCTCGGCAGAGGGCCTGTCCACTAGCCTGGAAGGTGAAGGCACCCACAGCACTTCGGAACTC